GAACGGCGAGGGGGGGGGCAGATGGAAGTGTGAATGTAGCTTAGGGAGTCCCGGCGCTATAGACTTACCCCAAGAGGCCTGAGGGTAGTAGTTCAGCTATTTGCCATTCTTAAAAATGACTTTATAGTTTGTCAATAGAGAATACTAGACCTCTTTTATGCCACTGCTGTTAGGATTAACTTAGAAAAAGTGTTAGTACTTAGTAAAAGTATTTAGTTCTCAGGACACAAGTTGATGCTATATTAATTGTGTTTCCTTAGTGATGTTGATGTTGTTATAAATGGTTTTAGAGCTATCTCTTTTCTTGCTCCATCATCAAGAAGGGGCCAACATCAGTACTAGGTTGCTCTAAATATGGCAACAAAAGATAAAATATAACAAAACTGCTTACCAGGAATTTAAGGCCCTTCCCATCTTACCCCGTCTTTTTTATAGCTTCCCCATCAACAACCTTTTAGCACATGCTATATGATCCAGTCAAAGCACAGTATCCCCCATTCCCTCAAATGCTAGGTACATTCACACTTTTGCATTTCCTTCTGCTCTCAACAAGAAGGAAAATTCTACTGTTTCAATGAAGTTCAACTCACAGGGCCTCTCCTTGGTGAGACCTTTCCCCACGTCTCCACAAAGCATTGATCATTCACCTTCACCGTTCCTACTGTGCATATTTTAAAGAATAGGAAGAAATTATCACTGTTTGCTACTCCCATTCCTACCTCAGTCATCTTAAAGGAAAAGAAGGTCTCCTTTGGAGACCTTTCTTTATCTGACTTTCCTACTGTGCATATTTTAAAGAATAGGAAGAAATTATCACTGTTTGCTACCCCCATTCCTACCTCAGTCATCTTAAAGGAAAAGAAGGGTAATAGGTGGGAATGTGAATTTTATAAGAAGAGAAAGAATAAAATTGCATTGCTGATGGAAAATAGAGAGGGATTGGGAAGCATAGGATGGCAAGGGTAAAATCAGTGGTACAGAGGATGGAGAAGAGAAAAGGGATATTCTAGGTCAGAGAGAGGTGCTAGGAATATGAATACCATTAGTGTGAACCTGGATAAAAATATGCAAAGAGCAGAATTTTATTCTCTAGGCAATGAGCAACCACACGTAGATCTTGATCAAGAAAGTAAGATAGTCAGCTCTGTCAGAGACTCACTCTAGGGTTAGGAAGATGAGGAACTGGACAGAGGCAGAGTGATTATTTGAATTATGAGCAAGCATAGTGTTTCTTGAAGTTTTTCTGGAACCTGGTCTGTCCTGGAGTGGACTTGGGATATGAAGGCACAGGGGGTTTCTGGGAACAGAACACCTGCAGAAGGTGACCCTTCTGAAGTTCAGAGTTTTGAACAAATCTGAAGAAATAAGAGGAAGGAGAAGGAGAGGCAGAGAAAAAAAGTCACAGTTATACTAGTGGCGTTATTAAGGGAGGGAATAGAGAAGCAGCCTAGGTAGGCATCATTTAGCAGGTGACATGTGAGCAAAGACAGGAATAAGACAGTGAGTCACTCAGATATCTGTGCAAGGGAATAGCCCATCACTGTGTTTGAGGAAGGATGTGCTGGTGTGTTGGAGGAATAGGAGGAGGGCAGTATCTGGTACAGAGCAAGTAAGAGAGATGGAGGAGGAAGCTGAGGTCAAAGAGGTTAATACAATAGGTGACGTGGGACCTTGTAGCCTGTTTTAAAGACCTGGACTTTTATACTTCAGGTAACAGAGAGTCATTTCAGTAGAGGAGGGAGTTGGTCTAACTTACATGTTAAGAAGATCATCCTGGCCATATTGTAGAAGATGTGGGGATACATGGTGATGTGGAAGGAAGCAAGGATGAAAATAAGCAGACCACTGTGGTGGTTTGAATGAGAATGTCCCCTGTAAGCTTCAAGTATTTGGACATTTTGTCCCCAGTTGGTGGTGCTGTTTTTGGAGGTCTTAGAAGGTGTGGCCATGCTGAAGGAAGCATGTCACTGGGGGTGGCTTAGAGAGTTCTTAAGTCTTGCCAGATCTCCAGTCACATTCTGCTTCCTGTACCTGCTTGAAGATGTGAGCACTTAGCTTCTGCTCCTACTCCAGCCACCTCTACTGCCATGCATCCCCTCCCTGATGGATACTTCCCCTTTTAGAACTGTAAGCCAAATAAACTCTTCCTTTTAAAAGTTCCTTTGGTCATAGTGTTTCTATAACAGCAACAGAAAAGTAACAAAAGTAGTAACTGGTACCAGAGAGTGGACTGTTGGCTGTGAAGAACCTGACCATATGTGGTTTGGGGAGGAATGTGGAAGATTTTGGAGGTTTGGGCTAGAAAGGCAGTTGAATGATGTAAGTAGAGTTTAACAGGCCATTCTAGTAGGTGCCTGGAAGAAGGTAATACTGAGAACAATGTAGTTCCAGAGGGAAATAAGGAAAGAAGCAGCAATTGGAATATTTTGGCAAAGAAGCTGCCAAAAAGCTTAACTAAGGCTAAGTTAGAAAGCAATGGACTGACTTCTTTGGTGAAGAATATTTCAAGACACCTTAACATAGAAGTGGTTGCATGGCTATTACTTGTGAATATTCTGAAGACCTATAGTGAAAAAGAGCAAATGGGGCAAACAAACAAACAAACAAACAAACAAAAAACCAAATGTACAGTTTGAATTGAAAAAAAAAAAAGCACTTGGAAGATTAATGTTGGAGCCAAGGCATGTGCTGAAAGAAAGGATCCCTTTGATAAGGAGACTAAAGCAATTAATGAAAGGCCTAGAGAATTATACTTAAACAATGGAGAGAATGCTTCCAGGGAAATTCCACATTAAGCTAAACCTCCAACTTGTGAAAGGAAATTACAGCAAGGGTTTTCTACTGGAAATCACTGAAGAAAAAAATTTCAAAAGTGGTTAGAGTAGGGTGGAGTCCATCCCAAACTTGCAGCAAAACTTGGCAGTGTCATTCACCTGGTCCTTCCTTTAGAGGTATGAAAGATGCAAGAGTAAAGGGGTCATCAGTTCTTCCTCTGCAGTTTCAGAGAGCTGCCGAGGCCAGGAAGCAGTCAGCAGGGGTGTTTCTGCATAAAGGAGGCCCTGATAGGCCATTGCTGAAGCTATGAAGGGGAAGCCTGCTTGGCAGTGGAGACCCCAAGGAGATATTTGTGATGCCAGAGCTGTGAGACATCTGCCAAGGAGAGCTGCATACAGGGAGTGGTACCAGCCCGAGAGAGAGAGAGATGTATGTTTCACACAGAAAAGCTAGAGAGGCTGAAGTAAAATTCCAGAAGTCCGACATGAAGCTATTGGATTTGGTGTTTGCCCTGCTGATTTTCAGTTCTTTTTTGGCCTGGTATTTCCTCACTATGTCTCTATTCCTCCCTTTTGGAAATGGGAATGTGTATTCAGTTCCACTGTATGTTGTATCTTTTGATTTTACAGAGGCTTACAGTTAAAAGATTGTCCTGAGTCTCAGAAGGGACTTTGGACTGTGGACTTTAAAATAGTATTAAGACCTACAAAGACTATGGGGACTTTTAAAGTTGGACTAAATGCATTTTGCATTTTATATGGTCATGAGCCTATGGGGGCCAGGGAGTGGAATGTGGGGGTTTGAATAAGAATGTCCCCCATATTCTCCAAGTATTTGAACATTTTGTCCCTGGTTGGTGGCACTGTTTTGGGAGGTCTTAGAAGGTGTGGCCATACTGGAGGAAGCACGTCACTGGGGACAGGATCACAGAGTTCATAAACCTTGCCAGATCTCCAGTCATACTCTGCTTCCTGTGCCTGCTTGATGATGTGAGCACTTAGCTTGTGCTCCTACTCCAGCCACCTCTGCCACCGTGATGGACTCCTGCCCCATTGGAACTGTAAGCTAAATAAACTGTTCCTTTTATAAGTTCCCTTGGTCATGGTGTTTCTATCTTAGCAACAGAAAAGCAACTAGAACAACCACCAAGCTCAAGTGATGCTAGTGGAAGTATTAGAAAGTGTTGGAACATTTTTAAAGTACAGACAACAGATTAGCAATAGGTATGAGGGAAGAAAAGGAATAATGGGGCACTCATGGGGACCTCAGTAGTTTGGGCCTGAGCAGTTCTTCCTCTTGTACTGTATAGATGTGCCTGTGCCCATGGATATCAAAATGGAACTGTGCCACAGGGATGTCTCTGGACCTCCCCATAATTTCAGTGTCTTCTATGAAGATGGAATTATAATAACAGTGACCTCAAAATACTGGTAGCACTAAATGAATAAATCCTAGAAAACTGTTTAAAACTATTTCTGAGGTACAATAAACACAAGGTAAGTGATGACACCTCCTAACTGTATATGGTATGAGGGCAGCGCAGCCTGTCTCATCTCTACTGACTCTTACTTGGGGTTTTGTCTAGGTGCTCCCTAATGGGGTTTGACCTGAATCGTCACTGGCTGGATCCTTCTCCATGGGTCCATCCCACTCTGCATGGGGTGAAACAACTCATCATCCAGATGTACAATGACCCGGTGAGTAGCACAGTGCCCTCAGATGTTGCCAGTTAATGGCCAAAGCTGGAAAAGGGAAGTTGTATGGGGAAGTCAACACACAGTTTCTATTGAGAAAGACATACGCAAAACCAGGGAAGGACTAAGCCTACTCTTCACTGAATTTTATAGACCCCAGTACCTACTCCCAATACCCGCCCCCAGCTATTGTTTTGGTTATTTCTTTCCTCTTATGGGATGAAGGAAATATATTGAAGTACATTTTTGTTTGTCAAGGCTTCTTGATGGCAAGTCAAAGAAATACAGCTTGAGAAGAGTCTTAGTTTACTTTCAATTGCTGTGATAAAAACACCAACCAACAGAGGGACATAAAGGACAGTTTTTGCTCCTTGTCCTCCTAGGTCAACTAAGCTCCAGGGGGCTATGAGGACCTCTCAAAATGTCCTGTAACTGTGGTGAGTCACCTGTCTCTTGATCAAGTAGGCCATGGAGACCCAACCAAATGGACTTGAACCAGTGTCCAGTCTACAAAGAGGAAGGTCAACACAGAGGAAACATTTCCTCCGTGCTTCCAAGTGAAGCCAGCCATGGTCAAGCAGGACCTTTGACTTATCTTCACATAGATGGAACTGGTAAAGAAAGGAGCCAGAGGCTCCTCCCAAGCCCATGTGACCCATGAGGAACAGATCCTCAAATGACCTTAAGAGTAAATATAAATTGGTTTATCTGGACCAACTGTAGGGTCTTAAACAGCCAAAAGGAAAGTATAACCAAAGATTAAAGGGATCAATGTAATTATTTAAGAGTCCATGTGTATAGCTAAAAGCTACCTAACAATAAACAATGCCATACAGGAGATACCTTCCTCTGAGTTGTTGGCCAGGGTGAACTGGGAAAATGAACAGCAGACCCCAATCTTATTTAAAGGAATATTGGCAACTGATTGCTGCTAGATGAGGAAGAGCTGATCCTCCTAAAACAAGGATCTCTAGATAGGCTGACTAGATTCAACAGATGGACAAGTACTGGAGAATGGCTGGGGCTGACAACACAGTGGACAGTAACAGGGATTACAGAGTAGATGAGCTCTGGGGGGGCACTATGGGAGACTGCCATTTGGGATGTGGGTGTATATATATGAATAAGATTGTTTGGGATGTTCTGTATGTAATATATACAAAAAAATCAGCAAATTAAAAAAATGAGTTATATTTGAGGAAGAAGCATAAAAATTTGCTTCATGTTAATTAGTAGAGGTGAAACACATTACAACTGAAATCTACCTGATGAGTTTATATCCATGCTCAGGTGCCAAGGATCTCAGAAAGTAACCGGCTGTGACTAGTAATAATCAGATACATAGTGATTAGAAACACATGTGCAAATATCTAAGCATTACTAGCGTTAAAAATGAGTTTTTCTATATGAAACAGTATATTTTAGAATAAAATGGAGATTTTTTTTAAAGGTTAAAACCTCATTCAATTTTATGTCTTATGGGGTTTATAGTGAATTCAATATTGTATAACTGTATTAATTCAACTGTGAACCTAAAAATTTACAGCCAATTTGGAAAGAGATGCATCTTTGCTTTGGAAATTGCTATTGAAATATGTTAATGCTGTAATGAAATGCTTCTTCTAATCATGTGGCTATTGAATAAATAATTTTTTAATAAAAAAAAAAACACAAGAAACACTGACCGAAACTTACTTGGCCTACTTGGGGAGGAAAGGTATACATCTCCCAGATCACAGTTCATCCTTGAGGGAAGCTAGGGCAGGAACTGGAGGCAGGAGCTGAAGTACAGACCATGGAGAATCTGGTCTGTTTATTGGCTTGCTCCCCTGGCTTGTGCTCAGTCTGTTTTCTTATACAACCCAGATCACCTGCCCAGGGGTAGCAATGCCCACACTCCTATATCACTCAACAATCAAGAAAATGCCTCACAGATATATTCACAGGCCAATCTAATAGAAGAAATTTCCCAACTGGGGCTCCTTCTTCACAGATGTGACAAATCGTCAACTGAAGCTATCCAGTACAAGTAGTATAAACAAAACAGAGACTTTATTAGAATACCAGTATATGCCATATACTTGAAGAGTGTAGACTGGCCTCCTCCACATGTAAACAACATGGCTGCCACCATCCCATGCAGGCATTCCCACTACTGCAGTGACTTGCTCTCATTTTCTAGTTCCAAAATGACAGTGACTAGCCTAGGTTGGAGGGTATGTTCACCTCTGGGCAACAGGAGGTGGCCCAAGAAGCAAGGATGTGTAAAGACAGCACAGAGTTTTGGAGTTGGGGCTCTGCTACCAGAGAACAGAGCCCACCATTCTAGAAGAAAGAAGGGGAGCCATAGAGAAGGAACAATTGGTATCCACACCGACTTTGTTCAGAGGGCCAAGTTCTTACCATTGAGTTTATTGGAGAAGACAGGGTTTTGTACTGTTCAAAAAGGAGAAAGACCACAGTCATTCCTACCTAAGAGCTATTAACAAGAGGGCAGGGAAGAAGACCTTTGTGTTCAAGAGAGGTGGCATGCATGGGAAGAGGGAAGGCTTGTAGAGTAATCAAACTTTTTTAGCAGTTAGAGCTACCCCAGGATGGAGTAGGTATGTGATCTGAGAGCTTTGCCTTACTAAAAGTGCTCAACTGGAAGCTAAATGACACTCTGTCAAAAATGGTACACAAAGAAGATTAAATTTGTTGAAAGACATTCCAATAAAATTACACCTGGGTTCCTTCAAACTAAGATGGCTGTGATTTTGATGACCCTTAACTCCTATCAAGTGACAAATGGTGATAGCTAAGGCAGGCTTCCAGAGTTGGAGTGCTTCCAACATCCACCAAAATAACATAATCTGCTTACTTTTTCAAGATGCCAATAACAGTATCATAAAGAGTAACATAAACATGTGCTTAAAGACAAATGCATATATCAGAGCAAAGATTAAAACTTCAGTCCTTAGGTGCAGCGTCGTTAGCTTTGCTTTAAAATGATCATTTTCATCTTTATAATATTATGCTTATATTTTTATGTTTATATATATATATATTTATAGTGTGTGTGTGTGTGTGTGTGTGTGTGTGTGTGTGTGTGTGTGTGTGATGGTCAGAGGACAACTTGTGGGAGTCTGTACTTGCCTTCCACCAGGTGAGCGTCTTAGATCAAAATCACATCTTCAGGCATAGCAACAAGTGCCTTTACCCACTGAGCTATCTCACCAGGCCAGAAACCACTATTTTCTTGATTTCAGATGCAAATTCTTCTTTCCTGGGTCCTTTCCTTGCCCACTTCTGTGTCAGGGCTTGCATAGCTACATCTTTAGTACACTGAATTCCTTCTCTAATTCTTCCTTCTTTGTTGACAAAAGAGGGTGCCAATTGTTCTGATCCAACCCCTTTATTACTCTGAAGTCTCCAGGCCATCCTGACCCCTTTCTTTGCAGAGAGGCTACATCTCATTTTTTCAGGAAATGCCTGCAGTCTGTGGAGTTGTCCTCCCAGGCTTCTGTGCTGACTATCTCCCAGTAGAATTATGATGGCTTCTCCTGCTGCAAGGCCTTCTCAAGGAGTGCAGCTCCAAAAATTTTCTGATCTGGTTGATAAAAGATGCATGATGAGTTCATTTGGGTTGAATATGACCAATTCTCTTGTGCCAAGCATAATGTGGTTTATAGATACAAACCAGTTATTCACAGAGAGGACAATGAGGCATGAAAGAATAGATTCTGGGCCAGGGGATGCAATAAAGTGGGAATCACTGAACAAAGTGACTAAAAGATGAATACAAAGGAGAGAGCTGGTAGGTCAGGTAGAAGAGAGGGATTCAAAGACAGTGGGCCAGGATTCCTAAAGAGGAAAAGACTTGAACTTGCCATAACCATCACCAATTAGGAGTTATTGACTTGCTCACAAACAACTAGATAATCATTTATGTTATAAAATATAGATCAGGTAACACTGAATTATAGAGATACTAGGAAATTGTTTATTACATGAATTGACTGAACATCAGCTGGTTGACTCTCAGAAGCATTCCTCGGGTTCTGAGGCAGTAGTGTAAGTTGCTTTCTTCCTGGGAGCCCGCTCCTTTCTGCCTCAAGCAAGGACATGGGACACTAATGAGGGAGTCAAGCTGACCCCAAATAGGATCCCTGATCCCACAGTTTCTTCTTAGCTTTCTTTCTTCTCACCCATTCTTTGCTCAACATAATTATTTTGTTTCTGTGAGTCTGGAATATGGGACTAGCCTAACTGGTTTATGTTGATGGTCTTAGAATGTGGCAGCCAAGATATCCACTTGGGCTATAAGCATATCTGAGACTTGGTCTTCGCCTGGTTTTTGACTCTGTTTATTTTCCTTCATTCCTCAAATAAATTTACATACCACATTTTTATATACCAGGCTTTGCAGTTCTCATAGTGGGAAAAAGCCTAATCTTTGAAATATAGTAGGCAAATAGACATTAAACAAGCAAATACTGGTGAATATGGATTTCAAATATGTCAGAGTTTATTACTTCCCCCTTCCCCCCCACAAAAAAAGTGGGGTAGAAGCAGGTTGGTCCTGAGTCTTGGCTTTGCTGGGGCACTTCAGGCTACATCTGTTCTCTCAGAATATTTTTGTTTGCTTGTTCATTTGTTTTGTTTTGTTTTGTTTTGTTTTGTTTTGTTTTGTGTTGTGTTGTGTTTTGTTTTATGAGACAGAGTCTCCCTGTAGCCCCAGCTAGCCTAGAACTCACTATGTAGACCAGGCTGGCTTTAATCCCACAGAGATAGGCTGCTTCTGCCTCCTGAGTGCTAGGATGAAATATGTGTACCGATGCCCATCTTCCTGGGGTATTTTTAATACTGCTCCTTTTACTTTTAAAAGCATCTTAGTTTGGATGCTAAGTTATACATTTTCTCTAGTTAAAAGCAACACAGAGGCCCAGTACAATACTGATTTGTAGCAAATTCTCAACATACATTATCTGGTTCTGATTCAAATTCACATTTGACTACAGGCA